TCAAAGAAACAAATTTAAAAAATACTGTAACAAATATTAATTCGAGTGTAGTCGGAAATAGGATAAGGCCTATCGACCTTAGAAATAGTGAAGAGAACAAATTACGAGGCATTGAATATTTCAGTTTTTAAAACAAGTCAATCTGGTTCGGAGAATCTCTTCAAAAATTGCTAAAGGTAGTTAAAAATCTCATTAAAGTATACAATAAATTAAAACTAAATCTAATCCAATCTGGTACCAAAGCGCCTTAATATCACTGAATATGTATTTTATATGAAATATGAATTGTATGTATTTGCTGTTATGTATGTACCACAGTGTAAGTCTATAGAGTTTATTATGTAAATATTGTATATATGTATGTACATATGTATGTATGTGGTTGTTGTGAAGTAGTTTTATGACTCGATAAGCACGCAAGTGTCTAAATACAAAACCATACGCTCACTCACATACACCCCTTATCAACTATATTCATTCACTTGCACGTGTAGTTGTTTGAAAAAAAGGAAGGAATATTTTATTTAACATTTATAGTTGAACTTCATACCATATCAACCTTGGACTTTGCGATATTTGTTAAATTTTTTAGACACACATCTTGAAGCTGAAAGGCTTTGAATTGTAAATAATACACACACATTCACAAAATAGCACAAAAATCTAACACAAACTTCTGTGTTAGTAAAAAATACACAGAATTTTGTATAATAAAAAATTTTAAACGTCAAGGTTTTTTTCTATTTTTCTACATTTCCTTTGATAAGACTACACTTTGATGTTGTTGCTTTTTTCAATGTCTTTGTTTTTGCTCTTACTTTCTATATTTTTTTTAGAATATTTTATATAAAAGAACTAACAGTCTTTATTTGAAATACAATTAGTAATGAACTTCCGGCAATAGGACCTTATCCTTTTTGGGAATTATTACAATATTTTCTTATAGGAAGGACATGTTATTGTAAAAAATAAAAAAAATTTAAGGTCTTTGAACACAAAATTGAGATAATTTGGAAATAAAATATTGCATAATTATTAATATACTATAAGTAGAATTATTGAACTGAACTAGAACGGAACTAGAACTGAACTAGAACTGAACTAGAACTGAACTAGAACTGAACTAGAACTGAACTAGAACTGAACTAGAACTGAACTAGAACTGAACTAGAACTGAACTAGAACTGAACTAGAACTGAACTAGAACTGAACTAGAACTGAACTAGAACTGAACTAGAACTGAACTAGAACTGAACTAGAACTGAACTAGAACTGAACTAGAACTGAACTAGAACTGAACTAGAACTGAACTAGAACTGAACTAGAACTGAACTAGAACTGAACTAGAACTGAACTAGAACTGAACTAGAACTGAACTAGAACTGAACTAGAACTGAACTAGAACTGAACTATAACTGAACTAGAACTGAACTAGAACTGAACTAGAACTGAACTAGAACTGAACTAGAACTGAACGGAACTAGAACTGAACTAGACACTGAACTAGAACTGAACTGAACTGAACTAGAACTGAACTGAACTAGAACTAGAACTGAACTAGAACTGAACTAGAACTGAACTAGAACTAGAACTAGAACTGACTAGAACTGAAACTAGAACTGAACTAGAACTGAACTAGAACTGAACTAAACTGAACAAACTGAACTAGAACTGAACTAGAACTGAACTAGAACTGAACTAGAACTGAACTAGACTGAACTAGAACTGACTAGAATGAACTAGAACTGAACTAGAACTGAACTAGAACTGAACTAGAACTGAACTAGAACTGAACTAGAACTGAACTAGAACTGACTAGAACTGAACTAGAACTGAACTAGAACTGAACTAGAACTGAACTAGAACTGAACTAGAACTGAACTAGAACTGAACTAGAACTGAACTAGAACTGACTGGAACTGAACTGAACTGGAACTAGAACTGAACTGGAACTAGAACTAGAACTGGAACTAGAACTGAACTAGAACTGAACTAGAACTGACTAGGACTGAACTATAACTGAACTGGAACTAGAACTAGAACTGAACTAGAACTGAACTAGAACTGAACTAGAACTGAACTAGAACTGAACTAGAACTGAACTAGAACTGAACTAGAACTGAAACTAGAACTGAACTAGAACTGAACTAGAACTGAACTAGAACTGAACTAGAACTGAACTAGAACTGAACTAGAACTGAACTAGAACTGAACTAGAACTGAACTAGAACTGAACTAGAACTGAACTAGAACTGAACTAGAACTGAACTAGAACTGAACTAGAACTGAACTAGAACTGAACTAGAACTGAACTAGAACTGAACTAGAACTGAACTAGAACTGAACTAGAACTGAACTAGAACTGAACTAGAACTGAACTAGAAGAACTGAACTAGAACTGAACTAGAACGAACTAGAACTGAACTAGAACTGAACTAGAACTGAACTAGAACTGAACTAGAACTGAACTAGAACTGAACTAGAACTGAACTAGAACTGAACTAGAACTGAACTAGAACTGAACTAGAACTGAACTAGAACTGAACTAGAACTGAACTAGAACTGAACTAGAACTGAACTAGAACTGAACTAGAACTGAACTAGAACTGAACTAGAACTGAACTAGAACTGAACTAGAACTGAACTAGAACTGAACTAGAACTGAACTAGAACTGAACTAGAACTGAACTAGAACTGAACTAGAACTGAACTAGAACTGAACTAGAACTGAACTAGAACTGAACTAGAACTGAACTAGAACTGAACTAGAACTGAACTAGAACTGAACTAGAACTGAACTAGAACTGAACTAGAACTGAACTAGAACTGAACTAGAACTGAACTAGAACTAACTAGAACTGAACTAGAACTGAACTAGAACTGAAACGAGAACTGAACTAGAACTTGAACTGAACTAGACTGAACTAGAACTGAACTAGAACTGAACTAGAACTGAACTAGAACTGACTAGAACTGAACTAGAACTGAACTAGACTGAACTAGAACTGAACTAGAACTGACTAGAACTGAACTAGAACTAACTAGACTGACTAGAAACTGAACTAGAACTGAACTAGAACTGAACTAGAACTGAACTAGAATGAACTAGAACTGAACTAGAACTGAACTAGAACTGAACTAAATGAACTAGAACTGAACTAAAACCTGAACTAGAACTGAACTAGAACTGAAACTAGAAGTGAACTATAACTGAACCAGAACCTGAATTTTGAGCTATCTCATAAAATATGAGAGGGTATGTGTGTTGTCGCTGTTATTAAATTGCCTTACGTTTTTTGTTTTTATTTGTTTTGTTTACAAAATATAACAAAACAATATTTCAATATTCATACAAATTAAGCAAATATTGAAATTAAAGCTGTCGTCAATAATGTTTTAAATTAATAATATTGAAAAATATTAATAAAGCAGAGTAAAAAACATAAAATTGTAAATATTATTGTTTAAAGTTTAAAATATTTATTATATAAATACGTTTAAATAGTTGTGCGTGTCTTTGTCAAATAACATTTGAATCTGTGTATGAAATTGTTTGAATTATTACACACTTGCGTTATTACTATGTATGTATGTATATTTAACATATTGTGTTAACATACGAAAGTATTTTCAAAAGGTATTTAAAAAAATATTTATTATTTGCCTGTTGTTGCCTATGAAGCATTTCGGAGTTGTTTCGATATGAATTGTGGTGTTCAGAAGTTTGCAATATTGAGGACAGGCTTATATTCGTTCATATAACAATTATACCCATTAAGAAATTATATGTATTGATTTCTATTGAAGAAAAGTCTTTAAATCTTTTGCGAAGTGTTTTATATATAGGTATATGGAATATGAGAATTTAAGATTTGTTTTAACTTCAAATGGATTTTTTTTAGGAAATTTAGAGATAACCTTAGTTTTAATGTGCGTGTTTAATATGTGCTGGTGTATGTGAGTGTTGGTATTTCTATGTGTATATTTTTCATATGCTTGTTAAAATGTTTAACTTATGGTTTTTGTTTATTTTTTAATGGGGAAACAGTTTTATATGTATACTTATGTACATACATATATGGTTTTTTGTATTCCTTTTTGCGCTTTTTTCATGTTTTATGGTATATGTGGTTGCAAGTTCTTGTTGTGGTTTTTTGTTGTAGTTGCCTGCAGCTTCCGTGTTGTTTATAAAAAGCTTATTTTTTTGTTCTGATGTTCATAATTTTAGAATTAATTATGTTTTTTTTCAATTGTTGCTTGCTCTAAGTTGTTTTTACTTTAAGTTGTGTTACTTTTTTTTCGTAATAAGGTACATCTATAATGTTTGTCTGTTATTTTTGTCTGTAGCTAATAGTGTATCATTCACAGCTGCATGCAAACCTATCAGATAAGAATACCCAAATTATCAGAAAATAGTGATTTTACACGAAATTTCGAGAACATAAATACATGAAAAATTTACTGAGCGAAGCAGATTTTGAACAGGAAGAAAATATCTACTAAATGTTTGAAAATTCAATATTTTCTTTTATTTGGAAAATTTTTGGGCGATCTTTATTAGTTAATTTTGTATGCAGCTGCTATTTTGAATATTGGTTGCATTTTTTTCTTTGATTTAATTTAATTTGATTTGGTTTTTGGTTTTTTGATTTGATTTTTAGTTTTGTTAATTTATTTATTTTTATCTACAATGACTAAATATGGCATTTTTTGTTTAAATGTGGGAAATAATTTTTTGTTTTTTTTTTTTTTTTTCAAAAGGATTTTAACATTATGTATATTGTATAGTTTTGTTGTTTTTCTTTTAGGGCAAATTTTACATCTTACAAAAAAATATATTTATATGTTTTATTTATAATAATTTAATTTTAATATTATATTTATAATATAGTTTATTATTAATTATGACTATTATATTAAATATTTAAAACTAATATTTACTTATTTACTTACATTATGTAATTTATATGTTAAAACTGTTTTTTTTTGTTGTTTCTTTTTATTCCATTATAACTAATTTTATATATCGGTTTCACTTAAAACTTAAAAAAAGAAAATATTTTTGCCTATATCAATATTTAATGTTAATGGTTTTCACTTATATATTGAGGGGGAGGAGATGGATTAGAAATAGGTGTTGTGGTTGTTGTTGTTGTTAGATAATCAGTTCCATTTCATTTATTATAGGGATGATTTACATCTGGATTACGCAACAGTGTACTATTTTGACTGCCAGCCAACTGTTCGTGATTGCTTAAGATCTTTTCGGTTTCCTGTCGACTGTTGGCCATTATGCGTCGTATTGTTGGTGCGCAGGGTGTACGTCATAGGCGTGTATCCTGCGCATGTTCATGTCAAACTTGACCATGCGCATTCATGTGCATTGTCTCGGCATCGGTGGGTGGTGTGCCGGCGTTTAATTGAGCTGTAGGATAGTACTGTAACGAGGCACAATTTAAGTACTAAATTAGTGTTAAAAGAGTTGTATTGATAAGTGAGTTTGTTAAATATTATTAAAAAATATGTAAAATAAAGGTTTCAGGAGTTAAAATTTTGGAATTTTTTTTATCCTAAGATGATAATAAATGAAAATGTAACACTACCCAATTTAACTTGAAATACAATTTTCTTTATGTTTTCCTGTCTCTTCATAAAACTTCAGCTTTATCTACATGTTTTGTAAGTTAGGGTGTTAATAAAAGTATTAAAATAATCCTTTTAGTTATGTCATATCATATAGCTTCGAGTATCCTTATTTAACAATTGCTACAATTGATTCCCTACCATTATAATAAATCATGTGTTTTGACCATTTCAATGACTTTCCTTACACTTAAAGACAAATATTTATCTTTAGATTTTTGCCTAGTTTATCAAACAGTTAAATATCATTCATATGCACGATAAACGTAATACGAATTTACACAACACATGTATGTCCTCTTTATCACACACACATACACCCGTATGCATACACGGAAACGAATACAAACAATTTTAATTGAAATTATTGACGTCCTCTTTCAAAGCTTTATCAAACTTAACATACATGTACTCATTTATACCGGCATACAACTATACATTAACTGTATAACAGTAACATTATACAGATGTATATCCCAGCAGTTTAAGGACACAATATATACCTTTTAGAGAGTCTTACTTAGTTGAATCGAAGTTATATAGTTTCAGTGTCATTTGAGAGAAAGTCAATCGACCCTTTGTTGTTCCTTAGTAATCTTCTATGAATTCATGAAAAATTGTTCATATCTAATCGAAGGAAATTGTGTTTATATTATAATATACAAATGTCTTTCTATGACAGATATACATAGTAACTTGTTACGTAGCTAATTCAGTAAACTACGTTAGGGAAAGTACTCCGAACTGCAGGGCATCTTTAGAAGTATGAGTTTGAGTGAGAATATGCATGCGTGTGTGTACATAAAGCACTTGCAAATGACTTTTTCAACACCAAACAACATCATTCAACAACCAAAAGGAAAGTAAAATTGCAAACTAACAACACTGCAGCAACAACTACAACGTCAACTGCATAAAGTAAACAATTATACAAACATCAACACATACAAAAGTGCTAGTGTAATCATACTTATGTACAAATGTATGTAGTTGTTTTACCAACACACTCATATTATAAGTTACATTCAATTTGAATTGAATTGCATTAGGGATCGTTTAGTCTACACACATGTATGCACGCACTCACTCACACCATTTAACCAGTTCATGCAAGAGTAGAATCCTGCTAAAGATGATGTTGAATATTATTTCAAATTACCTATAGGTCTGTTGTCGTCATCCATCCACAACTCTACAAAATAATGGTTCAAATTACCATAAACAATACTACTAAATACGATTTTCCTTTGCAGTCCTGGGAATTTAACAAAGTTTTGAAAATTGTACAATTTACATAGAATTGAAAGAAACTCATGTATGTTCTAGGTTCTCATATAAAAAGAAATCAACAAACAGAACAAGAATTGAGTTGAGAGTATGAAAAATATGGAAAAAATCAAATTTCTAAAACTCTATTACCTAAAATGGTTGTATTTGATTGTTGCCTATTGAGGGAGTTGATTTTTCAAACTAAATGTTTTGGAAGACTTAAAATAATTATTCTGTTATGTGTAAGGATCTTTGTAACAGCATCAGAAGACCACTTAAGGATGAAAATTCATATTTTTGCAACTAGGAACAATTTTAGGTGTTTTTGTTGATTGGTAAAAGGCAAACAATTATGGGAAAAATAAATATGGATAAACAGATTTTGAGCCATATGTGTAATCGCCTAAATAAAAGTTATTTTATGTTACTTAGAAGTTTTATTTAATAACTTTTAAATTAAGTAAAATTGTTTCTCATATATGAATTTGTACTCCAAAAAATGTTATACGTAGTTCAATAGATATAATTGAAAATTTTCATTATATTTTATGTACTCGTGCCATACATAAAATGTGTACAACTGCATTTACTAATTAAGGCCGCAAACAACTCTGCTGTCTAATTATTTGGGAATAAAAATCAATAGTTTTCTATTTAGATAATAGAAAACTGCATTGCGTTTATTGCCACATACAAGTGTTTTATGCAGTGTTTACAATTTATTTATTAATTAATCTTGGGATCACATTGGGGTTGCATCAAATTGCATAATTAAAACTGTATATAAGCTAAATGTTTTCGTCGAATAAAATTTTAGGCAAAATTTTTGAATAATTGAAAATTTTTGTATTTAATAAGAGTAAAAGCTGCTTGATTCTCATAAATAAATTATCTTTTGTCTTTTGTTTTTCTTGGACCAGCACTCAGGGGATGAGCCCTACTCATGTAGTGCATTGTGCTGAAACTATGAAATTAGGTTGTGGCCATTTGATTTACACCTTTTCGCATCGAAAATGTCGGGGAATACTTCTGCAGGAAGTTTGTTTCACTAACGAACAGTGTGGTTGAAGGTTAATGTGTTGCATGTGTTCTTGATGAGAGTTGTATGCTGCGTAAAAGTATACCGGTATCGGGTTCTTTGATTTCAGAGGAACAAATTCCATTATAGTATCGATAGAACAATGAAATACACCCCACGTTGCGACGGTGCTCCAGTTATTCAATAGAGTTGGATACCCTACTGTCACCGATAAGAACCTTTACTCTCCCTTGTAGGCTTCGAAGCTCACACATGAGAGTTGTATTCCATTTTAGGTCGGGTATAAGTATTATAAATAATAAAGATGGGCCAATATTATCTGCCATGTGTTTATGTGTTAAAAAAAAAACAACATTGAGTCTTGCGAGCATTAAAATCGAGTCTGTTAACACGACCACATACACAGCTTTTCATCAAGTCGTGATTGAGCTATTCTTATAATTGAATGAATAAAAATGGCAGATATTGCTGTCATCGGCAAAAGTGTAGGAGCCGGAAGGTTGACATAGAAGGTCATTTATGAAGATAGGAAATAGGGAAGGGGAAAGGAAAAGGTAAGGACTGAACTATACGACGCATGCGTGCAGTAGGATACATTCAAAAGCTGAAAAAATGTGTACCGTACGAATTGATACCGAGAGAATTAAAAATGATTTTACATATCCAGTCCAGACTTTGACCAACGGAACGCACTTTACTTAAGAACAGTTTATACTCTGTCTTGTTTCAAAAAATAAGCAGAAAGATGGCAAATGGTCATAGTGGTGAATAAATTAAAAAATTGAAAAATATATATTTTTATGAGTTTTGTTTTCTTTACAACTTATTTATATCCGGTCAGTGGTTTGCGATTTTTCTATAAAAAATCAATAAATACAAAATAAAAAAAAAAATATATAAAAAGGGAAAACAAATTTTCATTGCAGTTATGCGGGCACCAGGAAAATTCATAGGAAAAAATAAAGATGTTTGTAAATGTATTTAATAATAGCCACGATAAGCTATCATTCATTCTACTTCACTCACACTCAACCATTATTATTTACTTTGTTCTTTTATGATGGAAATTCAGAAAGTTTGAGTGAAACATTCTATGGTGTTTACCCTTTTTTCTACTACTTATTATGTTGTTCTATGTAATTCTTGTCTATTTTAGTTTTCCTGTTCTTTTGTTTTCTGCTAAAATGAAAAACCTCATGAACTACAAAGAAAACTTATCACAAGTACTTTAATGTAAACACAACATGGAAACATTAAATTAGGAGAACACCCCAGCAGAGAGATACCAAGGAAAAACAACAAAAAATGGAGGCAAAAGCATAAACGTAAACTTAACAATGGCTTTTTAAAAGTTAACACAGGATATTAGAGAGTTAGAGCCATAAACAGCGGAAGAGGATGAGGGGGAAAAGTATAGGATGAAGTTGGACATAACCAAGACAACATAGAGCAAGAATTTTAGAGTTAAATGGGAAACTTACCCCAACACGTCCATTATCATATTCTCTGCTCGCTTGAATAGTCAATTTTGCTTTGGAATGCATGGCATCCGACAGTGAATTTCTTTGATGTGTTGATGATGATGTGGAACCTAACATCGAACCATTTATTTTGGCGGCTGCAGATGACGACGACGATGACGACGATTTACTGCGAAAGCAAAATTCTATAATGGCCACAAAGACTGCCACCAGTAGACCACCGATCAGTATGTAAAAAATGCCAGCTACATTGCTCAGTGATAATTCATTGTGTGAAGTTTCCTGATTGTCCTTGTTGAGGTTGCATTCGGTTTTGTCATACCACCATTTATTGCGCAATTTTATCAGTTCGCCATTCTCCTTTAGCGAGAGTACAGCTAAATTAATTGGATCCCTGGGAAAAATGTAGTCATCGGCGGTATATAAAAAAAAGTTGTGCATGTAGTGTTATTGTAGTTGTTTTACAATAAATCCAAATAAAAATGGTACATCGCAAAAAGTAAAAATGAAGCGAAAAAAATGAGAGAAAAAACAATCCGCACAAGTACACACAAAAGGATATACGGTACATTGTTGATGATTATAAAGAAGGGATAGGATGGGTAGGTCGATGGCATTGGCAGTAACGATGATGAATAATAATCGGTTTTTGTAGCAGCAGTAGTAGTAGTAGTGGTAGTGGTGGTGGCAATGGTAGTTGATATTCGCAGTAGTTGAATAAAGAACATCAAGGCATAAAGTGGCGGTTGTAGTAGAAGTGGTTATGTTGACAATACACATATGAATTCATATGATTTTTTTTGTTTGTAAGCAAATTTGTGTTTGTATGAGTGTACCAAGTCAGCCAACCGTAAAATACAGATGCATGTAATAATAGTAATAATACCAGCAACATCAACATCATCCAAAGAAACAATCAAATATCCACCAGTTTTATGACGACAAAACAGCAAAGATGTCAACGACAACAGCGATGATGATGATGATGACGACAACGACGATGATGATGTTGACAATGTTTTTGTAGGCGTTAATTTAACACAGGAATTCCAAATGAATTTGATGCAAAACGTTGAATATATGAAACGAGAAAGAATTCTTATTTTAATTGATGATTCTTGTACATGTGACAAAATAGGAAAAACGTAAAGTACAATTCAAAATAATAAAAAAATTCCAACACAAAATGAATGCATTAATCTTCTTTAATTTGTTAGTATGTGTGTGTGTGTGTAAGCCTGCTGAAAGTTCATTTCTTTATTTCTTTTTCCAGTTGTTGTAATGAATAAAAGTGTCTGGGGTCTGTGTGTGTGTATGTGAGTGTAAATTCTGTAATCCTATAACAGGACTAAGTATAAATTACTACCGTTAGGCGGAGTATGAAATGTACCCGGACAATATTTATGTATGTATTTGTATGTGTTCAACTATGCAGATGTCCTTTGTAATTTTCTTTTAATATTTATTGCTTGTAATCTTATTACACACATATAGTACATTTATTAATAAATACCTCTCTGCTCTAACGACTATTTTTGCCTACACTTATCACACACACACATATATACTTGAAAACACTCACTTATGCATATTAAATATAATAGTGTGGGAAATTCATTTAAAGGCTTTTCTTCGTTTGTGTCTTTGGAAGCCAAGTCTTTCATAACTTGTGTTTTTCTGAAAACTGTTTTTACGCAATGAACTAGCACAATAATCAGATTTTGCTTTAAATTTTAATTTTTGGTAAATAAGTGGTCTTTGTGTAAAAAATCGTATTTTTCGTAAAACAAATAGTTTTTTTAATTTATTATTAAAAAATTTCAAAATTTCACCAAAATCAAAATTTTTCACAAAAAAGAATCCAATTTTTCAGCAAAACTAGTTTTTTTCTAATAATCTTTATTTACAATAAAAATTGGATTTTTTATAAAAATAGATTTTTTATTGAAAACCAGTTTTTTTATTATAAATGTTAAGATTTTAAGTTTTTGAACTTATATATTAGTTCCAGTCCTTATTATGTGGCTTTGCGTGTTCCAACACCAAATAAATATAACAAAATTTTGTGGCATACTTCGAAACACCTTTAATTAAATTTCCCAGAGTGTATAACTAACTCTAACTAAGTGCTATATTTTCATTATATAAACATAAAATAAAATGAAATGAAAAAAAAAATCAACTTAATACTCTCGCCTAAGTTGAATACTCACTTGAGTGGTGATCCAATTGGTGTGGCAATACCAAATCCTTTGGTATCTAGATTTCGTCCAACCTTCATGGTATCGCAGGGTTCTCGTGCATTTACATACTCATTCTTGGGTGATTCCACCAGTAAAGCGTATTTGCCTTTTGATGTTCGAACACGTCTGATGCCTTCATCGTACGTACTAACAAAGACATGTTTGCGTGAGTTCATATACTCCCACATTTTATTGTGTAAACCAATTTGGGATCTCTGGAAATATATATGTGAAGAAAAAGGCAATAGAATATAAGAGAATGCTTAAAAAGAGCATTGAAAATAAAGGAAGTAAATGTATGTATATGTGTGATAGTATTGTATGTATGTTTATAATAAAAATGTAGAAAAACCAAAAAAACAACAAGAACATAGCACTATTATTTACTAGAAAATTATATCACAGTATTTGAGATTCTTTAGTTTTAATGAATGTGTTTACAGGAAGTTGGTTTTTATACATTTTACACATAAACACAGAAATATAGATAATTATGTAGTGTATGTATAGGTTACTGAGTTTCGAATGACTGTCCTGAACAAGTAAATTTACTCCTGGTTATAAAAATTTAAATATTACTAGTTAATATTTAGGAAAATTACTTTATAAAAGGGATACGTTGACCCCCCATCAAACTGCTGGATATATATATATATATATATATATATATATATATATATATATATATATATATATATATATATATATATATATATATATATATATATATATATATATATATATATATATATATATATATATATATATATATAAGTTTGTGTAAAGGAGCATGTCGTTTATATGTATGAATATTCAGTTATAAAAGAACCAAAATATTTTTTGTTAAGCATATAGAAATGTATATTTATTTAAGAGTTTGTAAGTACCAGACTCCGTTAATAAATTGTGTCTGTTTAAATGTGCAAATGAGCAACAAAAATCAGAAATAAGCATATTTTTCACTTTGATGATTACACAAACTGAAGAAACTGAAATAAATTTGTAAAGAAATTGAAAAAAGAAGTCTTGGCTTTCAAAGCAAACTCTACATTTACACAGTTGTTTTATAAATGTAAAGAATGTATATTAGGCTGGTTCAAAACAAAGAACGTGCAGGTGTTTCCAATTAAAGTTTAATGTAATACAAACAAATTTTTATTTGTATTGCAAAGTTTTCTATAGATATTTTTTGTAAAGATATGAAAGGTATAAAAATATTCGAAATTTTTTAAACTTTTTATTCAAAAATTTTAAATTTTTTTTATGTTTTTGAAACCGATGCTCTCCCGAACTGATAGTGTAAGTAAAATTTTCAAAAAATTAAAATAATGTATAAACCAAGTTGAATTTTATAAAACGGAAAAAAACATTTTGGTAGAAATTTTTTGCAAAAATATTATAATATTTGATAGTTTTGGATTTATGAAAAATTTCGTTTATAGCAATCAAACGATTTTCCTTTAGAATTTTAGTTGGGAACATCCAAATACTTTTCTTATGGGGACAACCTATTAAGCTTCATGTAATAACTGTAATATAACCTTTATTTAAAATATTTTTTACAGATAAAAATAGAATGAATGAAGTTATAACAGGCATACAAATATTTGTTAATACAGTAATTCCAAAGATTATTGGAAACTTTTCATGAACTCTAAAAGTAAATTTACCTAATAACAATAAAATCTTTCCAATTAGTGAAATTTCAGGAAATTTTATTTTGATAAAAGTTAATAAAATATTAGTTATTTACACAGGAAATTAGCAAATTATCCAAAAACTCATATTGACATATGTATATAGCAAAAGTATATAAGAATGTCAAATTATTAAGTAATTCCTAGTAATTAGTAAAAAACTGTACTTATTTTCATTTGTTTAACATAAATACTTTTGTGTACCAACATGCATTACTGAAGTTAATGTGGTAATTTTTGTGTTCAGAAAACTTAAAATGAAATAACAGGAAAAAAATAAAACTTTTTTTGTACTTAAAAATTCCAAAGGATTTTTAATAAATTGCTTGATTTTACAAACAAGTTTGTATGGGTTTGCCTGTGTTCATGAATTAATACTACTCAGATTCATTTTGTAAATTATATGTTCAATTCCTCCTGCCACCAAGAACCACCAACACCATCATCCCAACCAACCAACAACAAAGTTCTACTTAGTCCTTTTTTAGAGTCTCAAGGAAGAACATACAATTACATACACTAAATGCTTACCAAACAGCTACTGCTACCACAAACACACATACACACAAATACATTTACACATACGAGAACGGAAACTACCATTCTACTTAAGCGGATGTTCATCTTGAATGTTTGTGCTTGGTTTGGCAGGCAAATTAAATTAAAATGATCCTCAATGTCTTTGTGTGGTGGGAGAAGATTGTGTTTGTTTGTTGTATGTATTTTCCTTTTTAAATTTTTGGTTTTGTAAATGTACTCTATAGTAGTTGTTCTTTTAACCAGCTAGTGGCTGCTAGGAGTGAGTAGGTGTTTTGCCATTGTAGGTGGAAATGGTTGTGTAAATCTTTTCCTTTAACAATTTTTTGTTCAAGTTGTTTTTTCATACAGCTGTCTGTATGTGTGCCTATGTATGTAGGAGTTTAAATTTTATATGTTGTTCATTTGGTTGTTAAATTTTCTCCCTTTTTTTTGCTATATGATTTCCTTAAATATTTGTTTAATTTATTTTTATGATGATGCTGGTATGTTAAATTGAAATGTGCGTGTAAATGTGTGCTGTTATATAAATACAGCTAAACGTCAAATGTTAAATTTTATTTAGTTTAGTAAATATTTTCCACATTTCCGTCCATTCAAGCAAGAAATTAATAAGTTTTTAAATAAAATATCAACAGTTTTCTCTTTTGGGGATTTTGTTGTAGATAGAATTTTTAATTTCTTATCCATTAACAATTAAAGAAATTTTACTTTGTGTGTTAATATCTTTAAACACATACACAAATACATAGGGATCATTTGTATATGTTGTTTTTATTCAAAATGTTGATGAGAGGGAAGAAGATTTATATATTTACAAATATTTAGTAGTATTAATTTACTTTTATTACTATTTGTACAATTTCGACTAAAAGATAAGAAATTCTTTCCCAAGCGTAGCTGTGGAAGATCATAAAGTTGACCCAACTTCTATGGGGCGATCTTTGGGATAAAAGTTATAAATTTCGATAATTTAAAACCAAACACAATATACTACTCTGCACAGTGGGGCAGAATAGACATGTTTTTGAAATAAATCTGACATTTCTAAATGGCTAGCTTGATCGGGATGAAATTTGACATGGATGTGGCCAAGGAGTATTCGAGTAAGGGTCCACATTTTCCAATAGGGTCCACAGAATAGACATTTTTTTAAAATAAATCTGGCATTTCTAAACGGCTAGCTTGATCGGGATGAAATTTGACATGGATGTAGCCAAGGTGTCCACAGAATTTTTTTTAAAAGGGATTTTTTCCAATAGGATCCACATTTCCCTCGGTATTGGGAAAATTCTTTAAGGGTAAGGTTTCCAAAACTGCTTTCTGATCCTAGCTTTGGGATTTTAGAATATGTGTTTCAAAATTGAAATTTTCATAAAAAATAAGTCAAATTCGGAACGGCTTTGGAACAATAGGACATGTATTTATTCGAAGTGTGATCCATAGAGGTATCATTCAGAAAAACATAAAATTGTTATATATTCTTGAAGAAAGTTTAAAAGAAAAGAGTTAATGCATCTTTTCGCCCAAAAAATAATAAAAACAAGTAAGAAAGTATAGTCGGGCGTGGCCGACCATATGATACCCTACACCAGTTATGAATATTAAATGTGATTTATTTTTCATAATAAAGCATTTATTTATCTTCTATTACCTTGTTCCGATACATTTAAGCAATTTATGGATGAAAAAATAATTTTCTGAAAGAGGCTTTATAGGGGGGCTAGGGGCAAATATGGACCAAGCCCGATAAAATTTTGTAAATATATTTATATTTACATAATATTTTATTGTGCTGAATTTCATCGAGATATTTGAGTTTATAAGTTAATTTTGGACATTCAAGTAATTTTCTAAAGGGGATCTCTATGAAATTTGGCAAGGTCATAAGGCTTGTATAAAACTTAGTTCTACCTGTATTTTATCAATATACAGGTATATTTAACATAATTATGAGCTCAGAAGCCCTTTTCGGGGGGTTCTGTTGTATGGGGCTAGGTGAAATAATGGACCGATTTTAACCATTTTCAATAGGCTTCGTCCAAAAAAAGTGTGTGTGCCAAATTTCATCCAATTATCTTGAAAATTGCAACCTGTACCTTGCGCCCAAGGTTTACATGGACAGCCAGCCAGACGGACGGACAGACGGACATAGCTTAATCGACTCAGAAAACGATTCTAAGCCGATTGGTATACTTTAAGGTGGGTATAGGACGAATATTTTTGTATGTTACAAACATCAGCACAAACCCAATATACCCTCCCCACTAAAGTGGTGTAGGGTATAAACATACGATTTTTTAAACTTTGAAATTTAAAATCGTTTATTTTGGTTCGAAAAATGGCATTGCTCTGAAATTGTTGGTATGTTATTGGTAATTTAGTGGTCTAACACAAAAAATTTTTATTTTAAAAAAGTGGAACATGTCGAAGATACCCTGTTTTGAGCCTCCAAAGCGCCGCTCCTGGGAGAATTTCAAAACATAAACTCGAGTACTCCGAGGCTACGCCAATGTCAAATTTTATGCCGATCATACCAACCGTTTGGAAATGCCAGATTTATTAAAAAAAAAAAAAATTATTTGCCCCAAAGTGCTCTCTTTAAATGCGAACAGTAACTAGAGCGTCATCTGCTTTAACTTCATTTAATTAATTGGACCCTAAACATTTGACAAGATGATAATAAACAATACTCTTGTCGGTTTATTCCCAAATTTCATATTAAGATTTTAACGTATATACTCTCATGCCTAAATGTCCAATAAATTTGTATGCAGTTTACGCTGAAAGATTGAATTTAAATAAGATTTAACTAAGAGTTATTTTTAAGTCTATGCTGTAAAAAATCTATAGCAATTTTGTTATAAGAATAACCCAGCAGTTTGCCAGGAGAGTCCAGAACTAACGCTTAGAGTTACCCCTAGTCACCGACAAAGTAATTTGAACATGTGTTTGTTTTTTAAATGTCAACTCTATAGATTGCTAGGGGACTGTAAAGTGAAAACAGTTCTGACACTGCTCTTTGTCACAAAAGGGACACTAAAATGACAAATGTCTACATTTTCGTCTTCAAAGACTAAATTCGTGATGAAAGACGAATTAGAGTCAACTCGGTAGTTAGACGTTAGTGGTGTTCTTTTTTTAAGCATTAACTCTTTGTCGAACTGCTGGGAAATGATTAGTATTGAAATAATTCAATACGCAGTTACAATAGACATTGCAAGAGTATGATTCTGTAAAACAAAATATTAATTCATGAACACTCTTGTATACATATATCTATAGATTTATAAATATATGTGTATATGTATATGTACATAATAGTTGTCATTGAATTGTTATCACTTATACTGTCAACAACTCGGCAACAGATGACAATAACAGAATCAGAACACCAGCAACATAAAATATCTGCAAATACCTACAGATACAACATTCAGCAACAAATCCGGGTGATGATACTAAATGATGAAAGTAAAATAAAATTCACGCATATTTTGTTGTGATTTTATTCTTCATTCATTTGTGTTTCTTTTCAGTTTGTTGTAATTTCATTATGTCTGATTGTCTGTAATACATTTGCAAGTATTTGCTAGAAAAATGTGTCAATTTGCAACAAAAGTAGTTATTGGAATTGTTGAGGGAAAAAAGAGGAGAGAAAAAAGTCACACAAATGAATCCAACAGGACGCATGATGACAATATAAAATATTCATACAAGTATAAAAGAAAATAAAACAATAAAGTGAACGAATAAATGAATGAAAACAACAGGAGGAGAAGAAAAAGGCAATGAAGATAACTGGTTAACAAAACTTTACATAGAGTATTAAAGAGAAATCGTTGACAACGTCAACAGTTTTGCAACGTAACAGGCCCACCAACACTAGCATACCAGACTCAGAAACACTCGTTAGGTCTTGTGAGCCGTATTTTTTTGTTTTGTTGTACATACAAATACTCGAGACTGGCTCACAAACAGACGAAAAAACATATATTTAAATGACATGAAGTGATGAAACGTAACGAACAAACGAAACCAATCTTGTTTACTGTAGTGTTATAAACTGATACTAAATGGTAAGAGCGAAAGTAATCTCTAAAGTTCTATACAAATTCGTTAGATACAATTTGTTATAGATGAACGAACTCTAGGGAGAAGAGAATTGAATATAAACCTAAAGATCCATATGAGATTTAGGCTTAGAAAATGGTTGGAACCGTTTTAGAAGGCTTTAAGTAAATAAATTTAATAAGACATTTTCGACCTAACCTCGTTCATAGCTAAAGTTATATTTGCAATAGTATATAGGCTTTAGAGATACGATACGTGTCAGAGCATACATTAACTGAGAGCAGAGATTGTCGCATGCATTTCCTTGTCAAAACTAATTGCGCTGCACATCAGTCAAATGTCATAGGAAGATTTCTTGTTGGATTTTTTTTATCCACATATTTTTTTGATTTTATTATTTGCCCCACTATTTTTACATACACACAGATATTGCCATTAATGGAAAATAATAAAACGGAAAACAACAACAACAAAAAAATAAAATTGATATGGATAAAATGCAAATTGTTTTTCTTGCTGCATGCAATGACATCAGTAAATAAATAAGAAATAATTTTGATTGTGTCTTCAAAGAGGCAAATGACAGTCAACCTACGACTCATACTAAGGTATTTTATTCAATCTATTTGTGTAACTATGAGGGTGGCTGGTGATAAATGTAAACTTACCCTAAAGAAATCCCACGTTGAACCATGTAATAAAGTACCGTATTGTACCTCTGTTTGCATAGCCAAATCCTCAGGGGAATTGATGGGTGTAACCATGCGTTCGACAGTGAGAAATGCAGCCAAATTGGCTGTATATGATGAGATTAAAATGAGTGTAAAGAACCACCAAACAGCGCCTACAATACGACCCGATATCGATCGTGGTGACACGTCACAGCCCTGTTGCATGAAGGCGGCCAAAGAAAACCAAAAAGAGTTCAGTATACTGAAATCGTTAACAGCAGCTGTTGAATTGGTTGCGCCCGGAGTACCTGCTGGTCCGGTAACTCCTGGTGTAACTGCTGTCATAGGTCCTGGCACCGGTACACCCCCGATAATACCAGGTGGTTGTTGATTTGACAGCTGATCGTGATGTGTATGACTATCTGTAATAAATTGAACAAAGAAAATGTGTATTACTTGAAGGAAAAAGAATCAACATGTGTTACATACATAATTATTTTTATGAATATACAAGTGTGTAAAGTACGGAGAGAAAAGGAATTAATTTCAATTTACGTGTACTTTAGATTTCTGTCTGTTTTATTACTTCTACATTTTTTTTGTTTATTTTGCTTCTCTCATTTCTTCTCTCAT